AGAAAATTAATTTCGTTTTGGCTTAGGTTATTTTAAACTAATTTTTGGGCAGAAATTGAATTCGTTTCTAATTTGAAGTATTACAGTGGTTTTGCAATTCGAGTTTGTTTTGTTTTTTTCTTAACTGAAACGTCTGTTTAATATTTGCAGGCGCTTAGGAATGAACTCTTTTGGATTTATATTGTCGTTTGAATCAGTACGGTGGGTGTTTAATCTGACAGATGGGGCAACCCAGTATATCTTCAAAATAGATCTAATTCTACGTCCTATGAGAGCCAGTTACGGGTTCGTAAACACGCTTCTGGTCTTCATTCTAATCAAGCCGTTCCATACACCCATTCTGAACTTCAAGGACAATTGTCTCCAACATATTGGAGTTAAGAAAAAGGGACAGAGGAAGAATTAAACAGCCCTTCAAGGGAAAAGCTTGCAAATGGATACATAAAAACATAAAATGCCACCCTAAAAATTAGTCAAAAATAAAATCACTGTGAATCGACGCAGACTTTCTTCCCTTTTCAGATAAAATTTCCCCTAATTCTAAGTTTTTGATCCTCGCTTAAAACTTGCAAATGGAAATCTTACAACCAAATTTTTTTTTCATTCAGCCATCCTTTTGCGACACATGGGTTATATTGTTTGGTGGAACAATTCACGATAGTTAAAAATGTCAATTTTAATGCTCATCAAATATAAAAATAAATGCCAACTATTTCAAACAAAATCAATTGAAAAAAGACCATAAATGAAAAAAAAAATCCAAAGTAAATTGAAAATTTTCATCAAACAGCAACATCACTCAAAAATATGTTAACATGTTAATTTTTTGTCAAAAAAAGTCTTTATATGCAAAAACTTTTATCGCGAGCAAAAGAAAATGAGGTGTTTCCACATAAATTCATAAACAAGGGAACACCTAAATTTTGTCTAAAATGCGAATCAAATTTCAAAAAAAAGACTGAATTACTTTTTAAATGACAAAATTAAACGAGAGAACAAGCTGAGAACAAGTTGGTATAAACATATTTAAAAATCAGTTAAAAATCTAATCATTTCAATGTATAACTTTTGTGATGACACTCGAAGACGAAATGTCAACAAGGAACAAATACTTTTCCGAAGCAACCGAATACCTATAAAAATAACTCAGTACTAAATTTAACTCAGGGAAGAAAATATTAGAATGCTTTTACTTCAAAAAAATCATTCACTCAAATGCATACTTCTGAAATTTAAAACTTTAATCAAAACGTTTGCTTTTCATGCGAAGTCGAAGATTTATCATTTTAAATATAATTAAAAGAAAAACAAGACCCCAAATACACCTGAAAATTCAGGAAGTTAAGCTTGATAAACGGAAGCAAAAGGATCGATGTCTAATGCTTTTGTGTAATGCACCCACAACCACATTCAGAAGTCACGAAAAAGAAAAATGAGTGGCGAACTAGTTTTTAGATTTCGTTTGCTCAACTTTTTCGCAGACAAAAATCAACCCCACCATACAAGTCAAACCCAACACACAAAATTTCATTAAAAAAGTTAGATAGCCTGAACTGTTGTTTTAACTACTTAAATCTACATTGATAGAAACTTTTTCGACCAACGAAATTGCACTTCGCAAACAAAGACAAAAACATCGCAAAGTATTTTTCAAAAATTTTTAGGATTGAAAAAAGGCAATATCTGATTACTGTGCGAGTGTCGCATACTGTTCCGACGACATTTAATACAAACTACAAAAAAATTAGTTCTTCAAATTAGTAAGTTCATCGAAAAAATTTCGTTTCTTGTAGCTGGTGTAATGACAGAATTATATACACGCGACGAAAGATAGTTATTTAAGCATAAACGGCAAAAGTCGTCTTCAAAAAAAGAACTAGCAAAAAGAAAAAAATCGACAATAATTTTTCAGTTATTTTTTGGACAATTTCTATTGCCAACGAAACAATAAAGGAGCTTTAAACCTAATTTTAATTTTTTTTAAAAATTGCCTAATTCAACAAATTAAAGAACGTAAACATTGCTTAACTAGCTCGCTTTAATCGCTCGAATGTAGTTCAACAGGCTTTTCTCAACACTGGGACATTTTTTGAAAATTATTTTATTTCTTTCAAATCACGACTGGAAAATTTTGTAATAATATATCACTCGATCCATACCGATGATTAATTTTGATACTAGGTTTGCGAGAAAAAAAAACTAGAACAAACCCGAAAACAAAATTCTGAGTTTTGAAGAGCTTTATCTAAAAATCTCTTCTACAGGAAAAGAAACCAAAATTTCGAGCATCAAAATCGATAACCCTTTACAATCGTGCTACTTGTAAGATAGTTATTTAAGCATAAACGGCAATAGTCGTCTTCAAAAAAAGAACTAGCAAAAAGAAAAAAATCGACAATAATTTTTCAGTTATTTTTTGGACAATTTCTATTGCCAACGAAACAATAAACGAGCTTTAAACCTAATTTTAATTTTTTTTAAAAATTGCCTAATTCAACAAATTAAAGAACGTAAACATTGCTTAACTAGCTCGCTTTAATCGCTCGGATGTAGTTTAACAGGCTTTTCTCAACACTGGGACATTTTTTGAAAATTATTTTATTTCTTTCAAATCACGACTGGAAAATTTTGTAATAATATATCACTCGATCCATACCGATGATTAATTTTGATACTAGGTTTGCGAGAAAAAAAACTAGAACAAACCCGAAAACGAAATTCTGAGTTTTGAAGAGCTTTATCTAAAAATCTCTTCTACAGGAAAAGAAACCAAAATTTCGAGCATCAAAATCGATAACCCTTTACAATCGTGCTACTGACATTTAAAGATCTCAAACACTAGCTGCTCATGAAGCAGAGAACACATGCTACTAAGCTCATAATACGATGCAGTAAAATTGGCCGCCAAAATCAGCACTACTTTACTTGATTTGGTTTAAAAATGTCGATTCGTAATATAATGCTTGTTAAAAAACCCATGCAAGTTGAGCAAACTGAATAAAAACCAAATTTTTTAATCTCCTATGAAAACGCTCAAAAAAATTGAAAAGAAAAATCTCAATTCATCTTCCCGCAATATGCATTTTTGAACTATTTTCCTATTTTTATTTTTGAGTTTTACTTCAAAAAAAAACTTTCTCACAGTGCCAATCAATTAAGCTTTGCATGGCCAGCGAATTAACTATTGTAACAGACTCGCAATGTAACATCAGGCGTTCAGCTATTATAGCAATAAGAAAAAGTATGAGACTAGAAAATTTAATCTGGGGTAACTGAAAAAGGTCCTAAATTTTTTACGTGTTTTAATTATTTGCTTTCAACAAACAGCAGGCTGGAAAATGATGCTCTGGCATTTAAAAATACTTTGTAAACTCATAGCAGGAAAAAAAATGCTACAAACGTTTTAAGGCTTGGTTTCTTCTAGTAAAATTCAATTCCGGCATTGTGAAAATGCTCGTAAAACTAATTTTTTAATTTTGATCAACTGTTTCAGAAAAATTCAACCACGTTCTTGTCATTTTTCCAGTTTTCTTCAAACCATGTTCAAGTTGTTCGGAGCTGTCAAATTTTTTAAGTGTTTTAATTATTTGCTTTCAACAAACAGCAGGCTGGAAAATGATGCTCTGGCATTTAAAAATACTTTGTAAACTCATAGCAGGAAAAAAAATGCTACAAACGTTTTAAGGCTTGGTTTCTTCTAGTAAAATTCAATTCCGGCATTGTGAAAATGCTCGTAAAACTAATTTTTTAATTTTGATCAACTGTTTCAGAAAAATTCAACCACGTTCTTGTCATTTTTCCAGTTTTCTTCAAACCATGTTCAAGTTGTTCGGAGCTGTCAAACTGGAAAAAAAGTATCACTACGAAATCTTAATTTTTCACTGATGCGTTTTTAATGCCACCCAGTTTATAAAAAGAAAACTTTCTTCACGTGGTTCCGATAAGAACCACAGAAAGAAAGTATTTTTTAAGCTGTTCGAGCTTAATTACATTTTTTATGTGAAAAATTACACGATTTTACTTGAACTTGACTAAGTGAAAATTGTTTTCGTTCTTAAGCACCCAAAAAATCTGAATCAATTTTAATATAGTGCTTTGAAGATTTTTCAGAAAAATGTAATCATTATCTGAATATAGGTTTACGTTAAAAACAAATGATTAACTCTGAGTGAAAATTGCGAGCACAAGCAATAAAACGACAATTTATCTGTGAAAAAAGAAAAAAAGTAAATAAAGCTCTGAAAATCATAACTTTGCTACAGCAGATTCAAACCGATGACCAGGAGACTCAGAGTCTCAAGTCCTTGCATCTGCGACACGGGCCTTGAAAAATTCTAGCTTTAGCTAACAATAAAGCAGCTACATACTCTAACAAATTGCCATTGCGATGAAGCAAAAGTCGCATCCAATTCAAATAGACACAAAATTTGAGTGTTATAACTTAGAACAGAATAAGCTGAAGGAAATAACTTTGCTTGGAATGAATGCGAAAGCATAAAGCCAAATTATGATATCATGTATTTAAAAAACATACGATATATACTGGTCTCGACATTTCAAAATCGATGGTTTTTATTATACTGTTATATGAAACAAATAGCTATTTTCCGTTCATTAGATGAAAATGCATCAACGGCGTTCACTTATTACAAAAAGAATGTGAAAGCACATGCTATCAAAAAGCCGACAGCAGGACACCAAAAAAGTGACCAATATTTGCGACTTAGGTTGAAAAAATAAGTCGTAACAATAGTCGTGGTGGTGAAGTGGTTACGTTTCCACCTCTCAATCGAAAGGGCGGATGTTCGAGGCCCTAATCATAGCTTGAGGCGCTACCCAGCACGGAAACAAATTGACCAAAAAAACTACATGTAGATCTTATTTAGGGGCAAAAGAGCGCTTCTCCGTGGTGAAGAACTGAACAGCTCGTATATTGGTCCTTTCCTTAATAAGTCTTTATTACACTACGCTTGTTAAATGTAGCTTGTACAAAAATCTAGTAAACAACCCAATACTTGAATTAAACTGTTGCATAGGCGATGTTCACGTGAATATATAATATCTTTGGTTGATAATTTATTTACAATGTACAACAAAGGCGGGAAAAATTGAACAATATTGCCTGGTAAACTTCTCACCTCGATTTCATTTAAACTGATTTTTTTCTGGTTATACAAGTCTCAAAAGATGCTGTTCCAATCGAGTCATAGTGAGCGCGAACAATTCACACCAATTTGCCCTTGTTCACAGTGAAAACACGAGATTTAATTTGGATTACAACAAGGATATGTATTTTAAAGAAGTCTATACTGTTAGGAAGAAGTTTCAAGTTCCTGGAATTTTTTGGTTGACTTTTAACCAAAACTAATATACTTTTAGTTAATTTAAGTTTCAAGTTTGATTTCCAGAACTTGATTCTTGAAAGTTATACAAAAAGGACAATGAGTAATAGCAGATGAACTTTATTTCTATGCAATCATTGATAACTTGAAATGAAACAAAAAAACCATTTAAACTGGCAAAGAATTCAATCAAATTTAAAAGTCCAGTTTTATTTACCATTGAAGAAATTTCGGTCCAGTAGTCGCACAGATTGTAGAAACAATTTCCAACCAAGAAATTCATGGTTGATGTTGATTCATGTATAATTATATTTGAAAAACAATCTTTTCCAGATAAAGTAGTTTGGAAACCAAATAATCGGACGACGAAAAACGAAAAAAAAACAGCTATTTTTTTATCGCACAACTCAAAATACGCATTTAAATCCAACCTAAATCAGAAAATACTCTCAAGTATTTGAAAATTAGAGAAATTGCCATAGTTTTACTTATTTCTGAACACTTCATAGAGGTCTTGATTTGAATCTTCTGTTTTGTTGTGTTGTGTGTGTCAGTTTGATTTTTAGTTTTGCCAGTTGTATCGCTCCTGGGAGGTTCTGCTGCACAGGTTCTGATCAGTCTACCTTGACGACGGAGTATATCTTGCGGATGAACCAGAAGCATGCGAGGAACCCGATCGTGCCACAGAACACCATCACCAGCAGCACCATGATCATGCTGTATCCAAAGTACAGGACAGTGCTCATGAACCCAGTCACTGCCATCTTCGTCTAAACATTTCACACTATTATAAAAAGGTAGTTGAGATAGTGACCACCAGTGAGCGGAAAGAGGTTAATTTGCCTTAGTTTGCCCTGAAAAACAGTTTAAAGACTTTGAGAAAAATCATACACTGGAGTTTGTGACAGGAACTCCTGCCAGATTCGTTCATGCGCGGATAACATCCCATCAAGTCGAAAAACTTTAAAGTAAAAACTGCGAGTTTGTCAGAAAATACAGATCAAAAAATTGCAAACGTGTAAAACAAAGGAAGGTTTCTGAACTTATTTTTTTACGAAAAAATCTAGAGGTTGTACGTTGCGCCTTCACTGCTTGACTTCAAAAAGCTGTCGTGTGGCTTGGGGGTTCTCAGCATTCTTTCAGAAAATATGCTTGTTAGTCTTATGACTATTCACGCCTCAGCAAAGGAATGCGGCCGTTTCTGGGTCGCACATGAGTCAGCAACGTCAGTAGGGAAAAAATGACTTTCTGGCGTGGAAGGGGGTAATCTGAATCTGTTTTCTTTCAGACGAAAAGCCGTTGTATCTAGACAACAATCGTTTGACTATTCAAGTCTGAGTATGGAAATGCAGATTTGGGCTGCACTTTTTGCATCAAAAATCATGGTCATGTTTCTTATAAAATAGAAATTTTGTCGAAAACGGGGACGTTATGCTGCACAATTTGATACCTGTTTTTTAGGCCGTTTTTTCATTGAAGATAATGGGTGCTTAAAAAGATTATGTATATTTTGTTTGCAATGAATACTACTACTTAACAAAATGTTCGCCGATTAGGGTAGGCCCCAAGTAGGGTTAGCAAACCCTTTGCTCATCCTAGCTCAAATTGGAAGTATAACTTAAATTTGGATACCAATTATATTGTAAAGATGATAATTACATTTTGTGAAATTTTACACAGAGACGAAGTTGCACTTCGCTCAAACCAGCAAAATTATGACCGATAACGCTACTGGGATAAACTGAATGAGTACAACTTTGTGTCTACAAAATTTTTCAAGTAAGCACGCCAATTATGAGTCTACATAATTACTAAGTTTACGAACTAACATTTATAGAGCGGACGCATTTAAACTAGTATACAAAAAAATTCGTTATAAACATCCGAACCTGCCCAGGATCGAACCCTCTTATTTTGTTGCGGGTCTCCTTCCCTACCTAATCGCTACAGATCCATGATATCTTGAAGCTAAAGTGCTATTTGTAATATAATAGTCTGTGTTATTATCCTTAACATTGGCTGTACTTAATAGCTGGTGGTTGATCAAAATGAACACTAATATTAGGGACTTAGGTTGGGAAAAAGAGTTCGTACTATCACACAAGCTTGCCTGTGTAATAAACTATATTCAAGAGAAATACATTCTTCTCCTTTTAATTCTGCTGGAAAATCTGAAAAATGAAATCCACTTTCGAAGCTAGACGTCTATGACGTTTTTCAAGACCTTTACGCTTTCGCTGCTCGATACTGGAGTTTGCCTTCCTTTTAACGAAGGAAATGAACTGAAATCAAAAAGAACCCAACAGTCAAACTGCGAGAAAGTAAATTTAATTCCTGAGAAAAAACTAGAGCAGTGATGTTGTCAAGATCTTCACGATGATAATATTGCACAGTGGAACACGAGAGACTGGTTATGAATATGACTAAAACTAGCTTTGGAAACTTCATTTCGTTAGGTTGCGTTTGCTTAGTTCTCTCATCAAACTACGCGCAAAAAACGACACTACTGTGTTCGAAACATTCTGTATTAGTTGCACGGCAACCGGTTATTTTTGGTTTTAATTTGCTTTGTAACTTTTTTAACTTTTTGCCTAGAAGTTGGATTCATTCTTCCCTACGGAAAAAATCTGATCAACTGATGAGGACTTGAGAAGTTTTAAATAAAATAAAATGATATTTGAATATAATTTTGAATAAACGTGGTGTTTTGGCCTGCTGTTTTTTAAGCAAAACAATGTACACTAACTAATGCACGGGTTTGCTATGCAAAAAAAATCCTCAGTTCAAATTTTGTTTCGATTATTTTTTTCCATCGAAAGTTAGATTTTTTTTTTCAGCTGCATGGTTAAATTCAGCGCTGAATAAACCGATATTTTCAACACTGTTGCTTTTGCTACCAGCGCAACTGAAATTTCGATAATAGGTTACTTTCTTCATTTAATTAGAATTGCACAATTGACAAAACAAATGGTGCCTGTAAGATAAGTAAGTATCAAACTCGACTGCTAAATGTGAGCAGAGTCGAAAACGTAATGTGATTGCTCAGCGTGCGTTTAATCGCGCGTACACTAGACATATTTGCTGTATCATCAAATTTTGTACTTATTATGAGCCATTAGCTTAACTGAAATAAAATCAGAAGCCAAGTTGGAGGATATTATGTAGCATAACTTTTTTTCCAGAAGTGATTTCTGTTTCCATTTATCAAGGCAGAGTTGTGGAAATTGGAACGTAGTAAAAGATCTGGTGCATTCGATTAAGCTACAAGAATATGCATAGTTTGTATTTACACAGGTATGGCATGCTCGTATTGTAAAGATAGACTTAAAGTTCAAGATTTGAAAACGAAGTGTTCTTTAAGTAACAACTAGCGTGTATCGCACCTCCGGTACTCATAATAAACCGCTTATATTGGAAATAAGATCTGCGTTCTTTGAGTGTACTCTGACAGCACCCAATTACAAGGTTCGTAATTACAAATTATAAAAAGTTTTTTATGCAAATTTTGAAGAACCATAAAATCTTCAGAAAATTTAAAATGAACCAAGAAACGTCACATCTGGGAAACTAAAAACAAATGAGCAGTCGCATTTGGACGCAAGATTTGCAAATTTTGAGAGTACTCTTATAGTACCCAACTACAACGTTGGGAAATTCAAATTTAGAGATACTTCACATTAAATTTTCTAAAAAAATGTATTTTTTGAACCAGAAAAAAATTGACTTCTCGAAAACTAACAAGATTTCAGCAGTCTTATTTGATCGCAAAATTCCCAATCTTTGACAGTATTCTGACAGCAAACAACTACAGGGTTGGGAATTTCACTTGAGTGAACTAATTTGTAATTTTGGTTTTCTGAAATTTTCCAAAAAATTACAGAAACGTTTTCTCCTAATTTAAAAAGATTTGGGCAGTCTTAATTTGAGGCTGAATTTGCAACCCCTGAGATTACTCTGACTGCTCCCAACTACAGGTTAGGAATTTCAAACTTTGAAAAAAAAATAATTTTCATGAAAATTTTTTGAAAAAATGACCAAAAACGTCATTTCTGGAAAACTGCAAGGTTTTGAGCGTCATATTTAGAGGCAAAACTCGGAACTCCTGAAAATACTCTGACAGAGCCTCACTACATAGATGGTAATTTAAAATTTTGGGAAATTTTTTATATCCAATTTCTCTGAAAAATTTTGAGAAAATCCTAAAAAACGTCATCTCGAAAACCATAAGAATTTGAGCAGTGGCAAGACTCGCAACCCCCTGAGAGTACGCTCACAGATTCCAAAAACAGGATTGAGATCTTCGACATTTTGGAATTTTTCAACATTAAGTTTTTTTGAAAATTTCGGAGAAAATCATAAAAAAACGTCGTATCTCGAATACTACAAGGATTTGAGCAGTCATATTTAGAGGCAAAACTCACAACTCCGGAGAGTACCTTAATAGAGCCTCGCCGCAGAGATGCGAAAATCAAATTTGGTGAAATTTTTTATATCTATGTTTTCTGAAAAAAAAAATCTACGTTTTTGAATATTTTTTGAAAAAATCATAAAAAACGACATATCTCGAGAACTAAGTGAAATTTGAAGGCAAGATTTGCAACCCCTGAGAGAACGCTGATAGCACCCAACTACAGGGTAAAAATTTCATAAATGAGAAATTTTTTTAATTAATTTTTCTAGAAATTTTCTGGAAACTCGAAAAAACCTTAAACATAGCAATATACGATATAGCTTAAACGTGAAAAAATTCTTTTGTTCAACATGCAAAAATAATACGTTGAAAAAGCCTAAACATGTCGAGATAATGCAGCCCGCATTTAAATATATAATAGATAGATCAAAGTTTAAAAATTTAGGAGACGGGTAGACACAATCAAATTAATTCAAAAAGCAGGTATACAAACAGACAGACAGACAGACTTAATTTGGCCCCGCAAAAAATTACTGAAAATTTACCTAGCGGAAAACTAATTGAGAAATTTTCAAAAGCATTGCAATATATGATATAGCTTAATAATGAAAAAATATTTTCGTTAAACATGCAAAATTATTATGCTTAAACATGGGCGATATGTCACTCGCATTTAAATATAGCATAGATAGATAGATAAACAGATAGATAGATAGATAGATAGATAGATAGATAGATAGATAGATAGATAGATAGATATAGATAGATATAGATAGATATACATAGATATGGATAGATACGGATGATAAATTTAGAACTATTTTTGTCCTGTTCAGCTTTTTCTGGAGAATCGCTGTAAGACTCCCTCTCAATATTTTTGGATCTTTCGGTGGCCTGGGTAATTTTTATTTCAACCTGAAGCTGTGACCACGGATAATGTTAGGTCTCGCACCAACCAAATTTCGAATGAGAGAAAGGCGACCTTTGTCACTTTATTTTTTTTTTTTCAGATTGCTTCCATTTTGTCAAATTGTTTCGGAGGCAAGGAGAGGTATCGTGTGTGGTACCTGGAAATAGTTGACGCAGTATAGGAGAAAGTAGAACGCAGTGGATCCGGAGGTGAAGAAGGAGCGCCACCACCAGTTGTAGTCCTCGGCACACAGGTGGAAGTAGCACAACAGAATTGAGGCCTGCGCACATGTCATCATCAGGATCAGCGCCACCAGAAACAACAGGCTACAACACAACAATGCCAATAATTTCAAATTATACAAATGCAAGGCTGAGCTTCATGCCATTTGCGACTCAAAATAGACTGACTGTGATTAAAATCAAATGAAAAGGAAATCAAAAATTGAAAAACAGCCAACTAACAGTTGGAAAAAAGTAATGAACGCGAGGAAACTAAAAAAAAACAGACTGGTTTTTTCAAAAACCTTCAGCTTTTGAATTTCTAAGAAAAAATAGATGGCCACAGAGCTCTTCTGATTTAAAGAACAATTTACTTTTTCGTTCAAATTACCCCAATTTGAGAAACTGAATCAATAGGTAAAATTTTCATTTCGCTGGGAAATCTGATAATTAATTTCCATTTTCGAAATTAGAAGTCGATCATGTTTTTCGTGACCTTTAAAATTTTGCTGTTCGATAGTGGAATTTGCTTTCCTTCTAACCATAGAGCTGTACTGAACTCAAAAGTAAACACAAGTCAAACCCCGAAAAACCAAAACTGACCGTGAACAAATTCTAAGACTTTTTCGTGAAAAAAAAACAAAAAAATCAGCAAGACCTATATAAGAGTACTTACTACGTTCAGGTCTGCGGGAGTAGACGGGGAGGGATTTCTGGAGCAGTTAAAAATGTGGCAACTAGTGTGGGTTGACAAACTAAGGGCAAAGAGGGGAAACTTGGTTGTCAAAGCGGGCGAGGTACGTGTTTAAAAGCCGACTGTAACCCGACCGCAGTTGAGAAAGCTTACAGGGTGGTTCTAGGAAGGGACTGCTCTGATGGGTCAATGCTAGGTGGAATACAAATTACTTTTGAGGGAGGCGTTTCTGATAGGAACTTGCTTAATAGGTTTGTATAGTTTTGTTTTAAAAGGGGCTTGTAGTGGTTAAAAACGAAAGTGGAAGCTTCTTCTGAGTCGTTAAGATTTAGTGACGGGTTTTGGTCGGTAAAGAGGGAGTCTCTGTCGTCTTTAAAAGCACTATAAATGGATTTTCGGTGGTTACAGCATCCTGGAGGAAAGCTGAACCTTCAAAACAAAATGGGCTACAGCAATTACGCCGACAAAAATAAACACACTCGAGCATAAACAAACTCTTGCAAAAAAAAAGGTCCCGTTCGAACTCAAGCCAAAAGCCTTTGCCGTCTCAAGTAGGTGTGTTACCGTTAGCCGCATGGTTGATGAAAATTTCAAAAAAATTCCTAGACAAATTAGTCAAGTCAGAACTGCCACGAAAAACTTTACCGAAATTTCAAAAAAAAAATCAAACTTGTGATACAAAAAGAATGACACAGCACTCGTTGATCTCTCGAAGAGCAGTCGTGGTCAAGTGGGTTAGGCACATCTCTCTTAACACGAGGGTCATGCATTCGAATCCCGCTTCGATCACGGCTGGAGAGGTCCCAGTGTCATCCGCCTCCTCAAGGTGGGACCGGCTGCGGCAAAATGGATGACATCTCCCCCTCCCCCACGGTTGGTCCTGCACTGAGCAGGCCGGGGGCAAATAAAAAAAAAATCTCTCGAAGAAAACAACATTAAAACTTTTTAAATGAGCATCGCGAAAAAAAATAGCAAAAATAGGCAAAACTTCTGAAACTAAACTAGTTGACCACAACCGCAAAACATTGTTTTTATTTAGAGTAAAAAAATGCCCACATTTTTGGCAAATTTAGTGCTGCAGCAATTTAGGCAACAAAAAAGCAGACAAACAGAAGTCCGACAAAACGTTTCGACACGCGGACAACTTTCCGCTCACAAAAAAAAATCAGCGCAAATTAACGTACTTTTGATTTCATAAGAGCCAAAGATAAAATGATTCAAAGGAATGTTAAACTATTTCTCAGCCCGAAAAAAGTCTAAATTCCGATTTGATAACGCTTGCTTAACGCAAGCATAAACAATACGTTGTATTAGTACCTTGAATTGATTTGAAACGAAATTGCTCAAAAAATTATAACACTAAGTTGCTTCAAGCTAACAGCATCCACTCTCAGAACAAAAAAAAAACGAAAAAACATTGAAATAAAATCAAAAAATCGCTTGAAAACTTTTTATTTAAAAATTGTCTCTGCGTATATAGAAACAAAAATCCATGAATTACAGTTATGTTCTTCAAAACTAGTATATAAAACAATGGAATTTAAAAGAATAATACTTAAAAAATCACCCAGCAAATAAGCCGACAAACATTGGGACGAAATTAATTATACCTAAAAAAATTAATTTTTGTCTAAAATTTTTTTTCAGCTGTAGACCCAGTACCCTCATCAGCTCAAACATAGCAACTCTTGACCAAGAACTAGAGATGTTAAAAGTGCAACTTGGGTGAAACTGGACATCTTCAAAGATATCGCAAGTGTAATTAACACATTTAGCGTGGGCACTTTGATTGCTATCTCACTAGTTACTGAAGAAACATATGTCAAAATCTTAACATGCCGACCTGGAAGGGTCTGTAGTCAAAACTGGTGTTATCAATCCGGTTATACTTCAACTTGGTTCAAGAGTATGCATAAAAAATTCTGCTCTGACGCTCATAACAACTCGAAGTATAGCAACCTATTGGACTCAATTTATTTTCAGTACGATATTAGATTTGATTGTCTTATTTAAGAGATGAATTTATAATGAAAACTATACTGACGTGAACATGTAGTAGAACATATGGGACCAAATCGAGTTGAGGATAAAGAAAAGCTGGATGAAGATACAGCCGAAGGGCAATACTCCTCCCATCAGGATACTTGGCAAGGGTTTCGTCCAAAAACTCTGCTCGGGAATCGTCCTGGGGATAGGGTTGGTTCGCACTGGGTATTCTATTACATGTTTCTTGAAGCCAAAGTAGGAACCGACGAAAGTCAGTGGTACGGAGACTCCGAACCAGAGTCCCACCAGGGCACAAAGGGTGGGGAAGGGGACGGCGGCCGAGCTTCCTTGGGTCCAGAGGAAGATGTTGAGGAAGAACACGATGGCGAACACGACACCAGGACACAGCATGGCAGTCATTAGCACATTCGAGTACCACTTCAGACCTCCAAACACCTGCAAACCATCAAACAAACTCGTATAAACCAAACAGAGACAAAACAAATGGTATCTTTTGTAAACTGAAAAAAAAAAATTCAAATATGAAATCAAACCGATTTTTTACATAAATAAGTTAATTAATTTTTTTTGCTTTAAATTGTTTTTGAGATACTAGCAATATTTCTTCTAACTTTTCCTTTGATAATAATAATAAATTGTTTTCAGGCAGAAAAAATACAAATTCATAAAACGATACTAGTAAAGTTACAATCTGGAGATCACCATTGGATCTACCGTTCCATTTTCAGGCGCCTCTGAGAGGAAAAATGAGTTACTAATTTTAGATGTTTTGAGAAATATAATGTTTCCTTGATAATGAGAAAAACATAGCCAATAGACAGTTGGAAAAGAGTCAATGAACGCCAGAAAATTTTTTTAAAAACTCAAGTTTCGAATTTCAAGGAGAAAAATAGATGCCCTTAAAGCTCGTTGAAATTCTGGAACAATTTATGATTGAAACTTTTTTGAAAAATTAAGCCAATTTGAAAAAAAAAACAATCTGTAAAATTTTTATTTGGCTGGGAAAATCGATAATTAAACTCCCTTTAGAAACTAAAAGTCGATAACGTTTTTTGTGACCTGTACACTTTTGCTGCTCGATAGTGGAGTTTGCCTTCCTTTCAACAATGGAAATGAACTGAACTAATAAGAAATCAAAAGTCAAACCGCGAAAAAGTAAATTTGAGTCTGAACTTTCCTGAAAAAAAAACTTTAAAAAATCATCGCGACCTGTATAAGGATCTGAACTAAGTTCATTGACTCTTAACAAGGCAAATCATCGACTCATTAAAAGAACTTCGCGGGACTGACCTTGTACAGTCTTGCAGACACGTATCCCGAGATCATTCCGAATATGACATACAGCACCAGCACACACGTCATCAGTGCACCCCTATTGGCAGGGGAGAGGAACCCAAGACAGGCGAAGATGAGGGTGACCACAGTCATGGCCAGTACCTGGGATCCAGTACCGATGATGACGGAGAGAAGCATGCCGTTCTTTGGGGCTCGGAAGACGTCCGCGTGCACCAACTTCCATCCGTACTCCTCAATTGCGTCCTAGTTAAACAAAAATCAGCTCAAATCAATCAACTCGTACCCAGAGAACAAACTCCTTATTGAAAAACTAGAAGCTTAAAAATTCAACAGAGGCAAAGGTGAGCTTCGCACTACGAGCGATACAACAACTATAGGATGAAGGCACGCTTAAAAATTATGACGCTTAAAAATTAGCAAAGATTTTTTTCGAACTATGTCACAATAGAAGTAAATGGGAAAACGAAGGAAAAAAATTAAAAAAACAGAAAATACTTTCTCGTGTTTGAATTTAGTTTTTTAAAGAGGTCCTAGCAGTGTTGAATTTAGGCATTCAAAAAATTGGTGCCAGTCTTATTGATCTCAAAAATACTACCGGACGTTTTAAAGAAAAAAATCGGTAAATAAGCCGAATTAAAGCCTACATCCAACAAGCTGAAAGTCAGCAACATAATTTTCGTCAAAAAACAGGAAAAAATTTCATGTTACGCCCACGTAGGATCCACGATAGAAATATAAGTAGTGTATGTAATATGTATGCAAAGTAGGTTACATAATTTGGAAACTGAACTGACAGAGCTAAAAGCCGAAAAACCATCAAAAGACAATTAATATCAAAACTCTATCATTATACATAAAATGGTTGGAGTTCTAGATATGGCATGATTAGTAACTAGCACCCAGTAGTTAAATTTAAATTATAAGTGATTAAATTATAAGCATAGCAGCATCATAAGTGATTCGACTGATTTTGTTAAACTAGTTGTTAACCCGAAAAAAGTCTATATTCCGGTTTAATAACGCTTGCTAATCGCAAGCGTAAACACACTGAATGTTCATGTTTGCTCATTGCAAGTCATAACGCCAAATTCATAAGTCAAATTCCTCGCAAACTTCTCCGATGCCACGTAGGAACTAAGAAATGTTGAACAACTAAACCATTCGGAAATGTATTCTTCATTCCGTACATGAAATCATCAAACTCAAGTAAAAGCAATGAGTGAGCTAATCATAGAAAATAAGGAAAAACTAATCGATCACGAAAGCGGAAAAATAATCGATCGCAAATGAATAGGGATGGCATTGTGGCGCTCCGGTAGTAACGATGCTATGCTCAGCAATAATATGAAGCGGGTTCAAATCGCAGTAGCGCTCTAATTTTTAAAGCGAGCTCTTGCAATTAAGTCATAGTTTAATAGGCGCTAATTATATGCGGTCTTGTCATCTTAAATAATCAACCTCCGGGCTGAGTGACTTAAAAAGAACATAGAGATGGTTTACTTCGGCATTGTCCAGTTGATTGTACTTGGCGATGTCTCTGTGGAGAGTGCGGAGCAGGATCATGGACACCATTCCGGAGAGGAAGAGGACAATGACGACACTGTTGATGATGCTGAACCACTGGATCTGTGGCTGAGGCATGCTGTCCAGAATGTAGTCCCACCTAAACCACTCACGCCTTGAACTTAAACCTTATTAATGTGAGTAAATTAAAATTATTAATGTAAATATTAAACCCCTCTATCAATTGATAGGTTGATGATTCGAGACCCAGCTTTATCCATACTCGCGTAAGAGGAGAAGCAACCTTACCAAGCCCAGAAGGATGATCGTCCTGGGTTTAGGTCTTCAATCAGGTGTCAAAAGAGTTTGCCATAATGAGATGACGGAACCACATTTATGCACAGAGGTGGAGCGGAGCTTCGCAACACTTGCGATAGGAAAAAACACAATGCGCAACAAAGTAGTGTTTGAAAAAAAGACAGAAGTCAGAAAATAATTCTTAAAAATTATGTTGGAAAAAATTAATTGAAAAAACAACTTGACAAAAGTTGAAAAATAACAGCTGCGAAAATTTCATATTTTTATCGGATGAAGTTCATAAACAGCCCTTAAAAATGGAAATCATTTACCGAGCGGCAACAAAGGCGACAAGTTTTGGATCAAAACCTGTTGAGCCGAAAAGGAAACTCGTCATAAAAAAATTCAAGAAATTTAAAAGTTTTTACGACCCATCCAAATGGAACCTGATCTAAACTACATTTTATGATTGGATAAATTAGATATTTTACCAATGTAAAGTATTTAATATTAACCAATCATGATCCATCTAACTAACAACCCACTTATTTGTAAGTGCTGAAGTTACTTGTAATTTCAGCACCAGAGAGATTTGAATTTAACTTAGAAATTAGTTGGACTCTCCCGAGCACTTCAGCAGCCGCAATAAACCAGTATACCCTAGATCTATTGAGCCTAGCAGAGACTAGTTAAACAACCTGAGACTAGATAGTATAAGAGTAAGATTAGGATCGGTATTAGACTAAGAAGTTGCACGAATCTATCCGGCCGAAAATAAGATAGCGTGACGAGCAGACGGTGTACCCTATCCGAAATTACTCTATGAGTTATACACTCCAGTCCTAACTCATCTGGTGCGACCATAAGTCTCGAACAAGACCTTAATAGCTTAGAATTAACCAAAATAGATTAGAAATTAGACAAAAACATTTACAAAATGTTATACGACAATAATTTAATCGAAATGTCTCTACGACTCAATAGATCAGAGCCAATATTCCGAACCATAACAGAACTACCCGGAATTGGAAGAAGACCTCGAACCAGAGACGACATACGACAAAGTAGAAACTTGCCATATAGCTATATGATAGTTAGGCAAAAACCAGAACAAACTTTTATATTTAGAATACTACTGGCAATGAATTTAGATTTTCATTTGCAAACATAAAACCTTGAAGTTAATCTTCAAAATCATTTCAGGCGCTAAACAAAATTATTAATATACAATAACGATTGATAAAAAGATCTAAGATCGTTTTCCTAAAACTCTGCAGTAATATACAAAACATGTTTGAAAAATATTTATTGAAAAATAAAAAATAAAAATTAGTAGCATGACAATAAATGGTTAGTAATCATAAATCATCCTGTTGTTCCAGCTCCATCACCTAAAACATAACAGCAATCATAAACCCACTAATATCATCAAAACACTAAATCTTTCCTTTACACACATTTAAAATTTTATTAAAACTTAAATTCACTTAATTTTAAAACCAGATCATCAAGGCTTATCCTTGGATCTTAAATCATTTTCTACTTAATTAAATTTCAAATTTGATCATCAAGGCTTATCCTTGGATCAAACAGAACAACTTTGTTCTCCCCCACCCACTTAATTAGTGTCTAACGACCTCAAACGTCGATTCACTACCCAACCCTTTCTAAAGACCTAAGACTAATAGAAATTTTTAAACAAAACTAATCATTCAAATTAGGATAAACAGTGAAGAACTTCGGTTATTCATCCTTCACTTGACCCCCCCTCTTACCAGACCCAGGATAAATCTTAGACTTAGTAAGTTTAAAATAGTATCTAACGAACTACTCGCGTTCTAATTATACCTGAACCTTGTGGATCGATTTACTATTCTCCAACCCTTGAACACAATCACTACCCCTAAGTAAGATTAAGTAAGTTAACACCTTAACTTATACTAGCCACGAGAAAGTAAAAAATCATTCTTCGGAATCGATATACTTTTCTCTCCAACCCTGAACAAATAGACCCAGGTTAAGCTAACCAAAAAATCGTAAGAACTAACAGTTTAGGAAAATAGAAATCATTTAACAACCTTTTGCATCCGTCATCCTAAACCTTATGTCATTTAAAAACCTAGGAAATAAACAAACAATCGTTTTACACAATTGTGAAATAGATAACAAAAAATACGACCTTGTAATCACACCTCATACACAAACAGTTGGATACATTCGAACAAAACGACAAACACTAAAAAGAAAAATAATAACGAAACAAAGACAAATAACACGAAAAAGATTTTCAAAAAATCGAAACGCATTTTCAGAATCAGAAACCAACAGTTTAGACGAACTTTACAAACTAAAAGAATCAATAGATAAAAATTGCCCACTTCACGATCAATTATATTTTTCTGACTCAGAAACAACTTCAAATTCATCAAAAAGAGGAAAAAGAAGAATAAAAAAGCAGTATAAACACAAACCAGTACATTTATACAATTGGAATCAACCAATTCGACACATTAATAATTACATATTAACAGTCATCGAACGAAAAAATGAGCTCAACGCACACCCCAGGTGAAGAAAGCCCAGATGATGATGAAATCTTTCCTTTTATAATAGATGCAACCACTGATAGAGGACAGCATATATTTTGTAAAAATTTACTATTAAATTTATTTGAACCCGGAATCAGTCCATGTAAAACAGAGTTCCCAGATGTAAAAATCAAAAGACAAATCATAGACCACTACTTAAAAGATATATGCAACATAACACAACAGTATGGAATCTACTCCATAGAATTCACCTCACCAAACCATAATAATAGAAAATATACAATTCAAACAGACGATCTTGATTTAGAATTTTCAAAAGTTTTTTCAGAATATATAAAAAGCATCCAATATCATAACTCACAAAGAGCAAACTCCATATTCACCAATGAAGTTTTCGCAATAATATATAGTTATATTTCGATATTAGAAAATGAAATCCCAATAACAAATGTCTCACCGACAGAAACATCTAAACATTTAAGAGTACGACATGAAATCACACTACTCTCTAGTTATTTAAACATCATTAAAGAAAATTTCACGAAAAACGACGTTTCACAACATACAAAACACGATCTACAAAAAATTTTGGCATGGTTCATAATAGATTATTTCACACACAATATTGATTTAATTGCACAAGCAAGAAAAAATTTTAGACCCCAAAACTCGAACGATGATACCGCTATCACAGAACAATCAGATTATGTTTGGGACCCCGAATGGTCTCATCCCGCATTTATAAGCTTCCCACAATCAATCTCAAGTCAAGCAATAAGTACGATATCTTACATAAGAGATTATGTAAAAATAATACCATTCACCATTGATGCAACACCATTAAACTATAATACATTTTTGCCCGATACACAAAATAATAGTTTAAACTCTACAGTCATACACAACGAAAACCTCAATGGAACTAGGAATCTTACTCAACAAGATATCCAGACACCATCACACTTCATAAATGAAGAAATTGTACACACAACAACTACACAACAAAGTATTTCACCAATACGCCCAAATTTAACAACACCAAGAAATACAAATCCTTCACAAACACAGGTAACCTTACAATCAACCGTTAAACCTTCGGTTGCCCCTAAATATTCACATATGGATTACCAAACATACAGACCCATGACAATACCATCAAAAACACGCAAAACATTCACTAGAAACAACTTTACAGACCATAATTATAATTATACACATCCATCAAAAACATATAATCAACCACAAAGAAATTTTAACCAATATACAAGATCTCGAAATTGGGATAACCCAATGACCCAACCTAATTCAATAAATTTCCAAACAAATCCTCCACAGGATCACAGTGAAAATTACCCATTTTTTCAACAAAATAAAAATAAAAAACAGACATCTTATCAAATGGATTATTTATCCTCAGATGATGATTTCTTACAACCAGATATATTTGCACAAAATACTCAAGAATATCGTAGACAAGGAATACAGAGAACACGTACAAATCATAGAAATTTTTCTCCACAACCAATAGATGCACAACATCAACAACCAATTCAACAACAAAATCTAATTAATACACAATCTTTTCAACCAATTCAACAACAAAATCCAATGACTGCACACTCGTATCAACCATCACAAATGCAAAATGAAATACCACTCCCATATTATCTCCAACAACATGAAATAACAAGAAACCAACTTTCAAATTTTTCTCAAATGCCAAATGCAGCAGAATCATTACAAATGACAATGAATCCATACCTTATGGGTGGATCATCAATAACATCAAACAAACCTTTAATGGTTTTCACAGGAACAGACCCTGAATACTCTGTAGAAGATTATTTAAATGCAGTAACAGCAAACCTGATTTTAAATATTGGACCTGAACCAATTAATACGCCACTACATCAAAACTGGATACATCGACGCACAGCGTTAATACAAACAACCTTAGATGGCGCAGCCCAAAAATGGTTTTCAGTACTACCTCTAGAAATAAAATCAAACTGGAAAAGGTTTACACAGGAATTTTCAAAAATGTTTGACTCCGAAAGAAACAAACAACAACAAAGAGTTTTATGTAATGAAATTCGCAGATTACCAAACGAAACCATCAAGCAAATAGCAGTACGAATCGAAACACTAGTTCGAAAAGCATATTCATTAAATACACATGACTATAAAAACACAAAGATGACAGAAATCTTAATGATGACCTTAACACCACAATTAAGGAAAATAGCAATAAAAAAGAGAGCATCCCATCCTTCTTCAATTCGAGAACCCGATTTAGATTTTCGAAAACTAGTAG